TGGAGAAAGCTGATGCTAGACAATTCGTGATTGATATCAAACCTTTTAATGACTGTTCATGTTTTCTAAGTAGTCGGTTGGTCTTTCTTAGTGTTTTATAGTGAGTAATGGTGTAGAGAATATTGATGCTTTCTTCAGAAAATATTGGTGTTTAATGGAGAATGTTGGTGTTTATTGGAGAATGTTGGTAGTTAACTGGGTTAATGTTGATGTTTTGGAGAATTATGATAGTTTGATTTTGATGAAAAACATTGCCATCTGATGGTGAATAGTGGTGTTTGTTGGACAGTTTTGGTGGTTGTTGGTGAATCTTTGTGTTTGAGAATGTTGGAGAAAGTTGTGTATTTGGATTATGTTAGTGTTTGCGAAAGTTGGTGCTAGAGAATTTGTGTTTGTGTGAATGGTAATAGTTTATGTGAAGACCATTTTCCTCAGTTTTGGGTGTAATGTGTGGGTGTATGGTGGTAAATGGGTATGGTTATTGTTGTGTTTAATGAACTTTTGCTTTGCTAGCTGTTCCAATACACGATTATTGTGCAAGTGTCTTGTTATACACTAAAGGCTGTACACCTTTAATTGCTTGACTATCTTCAGTTACACTTGTTATGTTCATGGATTCTAACTTCAGAGGGTTTATGCCATGGATTTTAACCATCATTGCTTTGTTTTTCTTGTAGATGATGAAATTTGCCTGGGACAACTACAGACGTTACGCATGGGGGCAAAATGAGCTCAGGCCGCTCACGAAAAATGGCCACATCGGCAACATGTTTGGTGAGTAGTACTTAGCAGACTGCTTTTTTTACACCATTTTCTCATAATTTAATTATTTAGTTAAAATTTAGTTACATTTCCCACCACTAACTAGCTCTACCAACTGCTGAGGGTGAAGGCTGGCATGTGCTTCCTCCAAAACATGTGAAGCAGCCCGCCACATCTTCTCAATCTACTTTTCCTACTTGTATTTTCCTATACACTTACATTCTCCTGCAAAGGCCTTACCATTTTTCTTGGTGAATTTGGGTCATTCACAGACTAACTTCGCTTTTTCTGAATCATCCACACAAGAGCTGTGAGTCACAAACTGAGAACTTCAGAGGCAGCTACTGCACTTTTCTACAGATTAGCGTCACTCTTTTAAGAAAAATGGTTTGTTCTGTCTGACAGTTTTCCTCACTGCTATTTACCAAACTCACTTACCTGAGTGACACAGAGTGACATTTAACTGATACTGGATCACACTAATACACTATATAGCCACAGGTTTGTGGACACCTGACCATCACACTCATATGTGTGTCTTCCCAAAACTATTGCCGCAAAGTTGGAAGCACACAACTGTGTAGAATGTCTTTGTATGTTGTAGCATTATAATTTCCCTTCACTGGAACTAAGAGACCCAGACCTGCTCCAGAATGACAGTGCTCCTGTGCACAAAGTGAGGTCCATGAAGATATGGTTTGCCAAGGTTGGAGTAGAAGAACTCGAGTGTCCTGCGCAGAACCCTGACCTCAACCCCACTGAACACCTTTGAGATGAACTGGAACTCCAACTGCACACCAGACCTCCTCACCTTGTAATAAACAACAGTGTCTGACTTCACTAATTCTGTTGTGGCTGATGAGCACAAATCTCCACAGCCATGTTCCAAAATCTAGTGGAAAGCCTTCCCAGAAGATTGGAGATTATTATAACAGCAAAATTGGACAAAATCTGGAACGGGATGTTCCAAAAGCACATATGAGTGTTATGGTCAGGTGTCCACAAACTTTTGGCCATATAGTGTATGTTCCTTCTCCATTTCTGGCAATCCTGCTTATTGGGGATTACTTGATAGCTGAGCATCCGATTTATATCATGTAGGGATTTTACTATGGAGTCTTGCCGTGATCTGGGTCATCGTGAAATCTCTAGTGGCAGCGAGTCAAGGAAACTAAACTTGGGTTGTGATTTTGAAGATGCATTTCCATTCATTCAAGGGGTTTCATTAGCTCTACTGAGTGGTGGGCATGGAAACTGTAATAAACAAGGCTGAAGCAGTTGGCCCTATTCACAGAGACTCCAGGAAAATTAAGAGCACTAGGAAAAAAGGAGGACAAGGAAATTAGACTTAGCAAGGAGTGCATACCAATGAAGTGTTATATACAGCATACGGGAGCTAAGGAAAACAGGATGTATGGAAAACCAGGAAGTAAAACAGAATGCAAGCAGAAAGACAGAGAAAGATTTGATTTGTCTCAAATCACTAAACACTTAAAATTTCTCTATGCTGATTTAAATTACAGACTTTATACTTGTCACATAACATCAGGCATATGTTTCCTTCTATTATTTAAGCGTTAGTTTCACCATATCACAAGTATCCTGTGTTCCAGTTTTATCCAAGCACCACAATTGTAACATTATGTGGCATAACTGTAATACCACTCAAAAAACACTGTAAACCTACATGTACATCAGGAAAATCAATATTAAACCAACTTACATTCATTACTCCATGTGATATGCCTTTGAGGGTAGCTTGGAAAATATTAAATAATGACAAAAGATCATTGACTGTCCATTTAAATGATGATGCAGAGCTCATAAAGACATTATTCTTTTTTTTTTTTTGTTATATGATAATAACCATGGTTAAACCAAAGTAGCCATAATAACCATGGTTACCAGTTTTTTTAGCGGTATAAAAAAAAAACATGGTTTTAAAAAAAAACATAGTTTTACCATGGTTCCTATGGGTTAACCATAATTCCATGACTTAAAAAAAGGAAATCATCATTATGAGCTCACCTTTTGAGTGTGGAAATTAGTGTGCACAGTCTGAGACCTTCAAGCAAAATGCTGTACAATTATAACTATATAATTATAGTTACAACTGTACCCCAGGTCACATCCATGCTTTCTCACATTCTTAACAGAATTAGCCTGTGCATACTCTTAAAGCTATGCTAAGAGTTAGATTTAATATTCAGTTGTTGAACATAATAGAGCTTAATAGAAAAAAAAAGAAATTAGAAAAACAGTTGTTTTGTTTTTGTTTGTTTTTTTTTTATATAAATGGCCCTTTTTTTTCTTTTTTTTAAAAAAATGCAAAAAAAAAAACCCCACAAAAAACAGACAATGTGTAACAAAATTTATCATATTAAACGAACCATATCTCCAGCCAAAGCTTTGCTCGGGTTTCATTGGCTCCCTGTTTTTGTTCCTGGACCGGTGAATCTGCTGACTAAATGAATTTATGGTTACGCTCTAGCTGCCTATGTCTATATACATCCCCTCTGGCCTAAGAGTACAGAGAAACATCTGGCCAAAGGAGCTAAAGTAAGTGTGTCTGTGTGTGTGTGTGTGTATGTGTGTGTGTGTTGGCAGAATCTTGAAGGGCTTTAGAGGAAGCCAGGTATGAAATTGGACACCGAGTTCTTTAATTTAATCCCGTGAGTAAACATAGATGCCGGGAGATCAGAGGCGGCTAAGCCTGCTCGTTAGAAACATGTCATTACGGTCAAAGTCAGTAGAAGAGTCAGAGAGAGAGAGAGAGAGAGAGAGAGAGAGATAGTGACACACATACTTTAGGCCACTACGAGCTGCGAGAAGAACAGTTTCAATGTGCCTTGGCATAGATTCTTAAAAAAAAAAAAAAGAAAGAAAAAAAATCGCACATTGTTAAAGAAGTCTTTGGTCATGAATTGAGTGAATGAGATAGTTGGTCTTAGAATACATAATGCATGGTTGATTTAGTCCCATTGCGACCAATGACGGCCAACGACGAAGTTTTGAAATTGTGCGAATGTTTTTTTGTTACAATTTCTATCTGAGCTACGAATCTTATCTATAAGCCATCAAACTCACAGGACAGCTACAGATACGGTAGTGGCAATGCCGAAACACAAACAAAACATGCAAACGGACTGAAAAAGTATCCTTAATACCTCAATCTCACTTTTAATAATATTTCAGTTTCCGTTTCACCATCACCGTTACTGTAATTTGTAGCTTTCCTGTGAGTTTTGTGTAATCTTATGCCATCCTCCTTTTGGTGCCTTTTATCCTTTCAATAAATTTTTATTAAAATTTCAGAGTGCTGCTACGACGCTTGTCTAAAAGCAACCAATAGGAGGACAGCATAGGATGATGCGAAATTTACGGGAATATACGATAGTGGCAATGATGAAAACGTAAATGAAACATGCTAATGGATTGAAAAAGAACCTTATTGCCTCGAGCTCAGCCCATTTTCTGCACAAGCCTGGATTACACTGATTGATGATGTAAACACTACATAGTACTTTTCTTTAATCACAGGTCTATCGTTAGAGGATCTTCATCATATAATCTGACATGGAGAGAACATATTATTATACAGTAATAATCTTGAAAGACTAAAACTGGCTTCAGAATCTTAGAAACGCAATGCAGTCTGGCTAGCTACACAGCTACATAAACACCTAGGTAGTAACAACTAGCTGACTATTAGAAAATATTTTGATAATGTACCTCTATGGTGAAGGCAGTAACAATAGAAATTAATGTTTTTTCACATGTACATGGAGTGTAAAGCAAGAATCCACCTGCTTTTACAACCTGCATTTACATTTTACATTGGACTGATGATTGACTCCACTAGCTGTGTGATTAATTCCATCACAGAGTGAGCAAATGAAAGCGTGGATTTTGATGTGTGAACGATCTGAAGTTCTGTTAGTGTCTGCACAGAGGAATGAGAGAGCAGCGTTTCTCCTCTGCTGTCTGCGAGGAACGAGTGATGGCACCTTTCTGTCATGAGCCGATTGATTGCGAGAGAGTAAAGCGAATGTTTCTTTTGTTGTCAAAGAGAATGAAGAGCCATGATATACCATTCTGAACGTTTTGTGTGTGTGTGTGTGTGTGTGTGTGTATGTGTATGGAGAAATCTGGAGGCCTGGAATGTAATCCAGCAACAGGGGTGTGTGTGGGTGTATGTGTTTGTAAATGTCTGAGCAATGCTATTGGAAGCAAAGTCAACATTGGTTTAGTGGTTAGCATGTTTGCCTCGCACCTACAGGGTTGAGGGTTCGAATCCCACCTCCGCCATGTGTGCATGGAGTTTGCATGTTCTCCTCATGCCTTGGGGGTTTCCTCCAGGTACTCCTTCCCCAGTTTCCTTCCCCAGTCCAATGACATGCGTTGTAGTCTGATTGGCATTTCCAAAGTGTCCATAGTGTGTGAGTGAGTGTGAGGATAAGCGGTACAGAAAGTGAATGGTTGGATGGTCTTGTGAGCCAATAGAAAACAAGTGGGCGGGACTGTGGTCTCTTTCATAGGTTAAAAAAAAATTGAGCAGCAGCTTATTATTAAGTAGCATGAACACTGAACTATTGCCTCATGCGTTTCTTAAAAAAAAAAATGAAATTAGCCTCCCTGTTCACTGACATACGCTAGGGTATTTGAGATAAAATTCTTTTTCTGTCTGCCTGCTAGGATTTTTTTGTTAGCATTGTTGCCACTTCTGAGTAAACAGCATTAGATAGCTAGATAGGGTCTTTTTGAAAGGACATCGGCAGAGCCATTATACATTAGAACATTAGAATCTGTGATGTAGTGGTATATAAGGCTTGCTTGTAGTAGGTATAAGTACGCCTACAGCTGTCATATGACAGATCCTGACACACACTCCTTTATTCCTCTCTCTCCATCCTCTCTACAACCACACAGATGCTACCTCGACTCAGGCATCAGTGTTTCAGCCAAGCCTGTGGTCCATTACAGCTCACTGTAACTAGAGCAGACTGAGAGTGTGAAACACACACACATATACACACACACACACGCACACGGCTGTAGAGCCACACAGAGAGTCCAGAACATATCCAGCTCTAAGCTACGAGACAGTGGGCTGAGAGATATAGATAACATTGTGTTTTATCTCCGCTTAATAATAAAATCACTTTCGCACATAAAGAAAAGAAAAAGAAAAGCACTTCATCCTATGCTCACTGTAACATTGAAGTGTATCCGTGCTACTTGGTGAGTGTTGGATTCATTATAGGGTTCAGGTTATAATAACACTGACCCTGGTGTTCACTGTGCTTTCTGTAGAATCCTGAATGTATTTTACCAAGCTGATTATTTCAGAGACATCCTTCAGTATGGATGGGATTTGAGGAAACTTGAAGAAGAAAAAGCTCTTTGATAGAGGATAAAAAATGAAATCTAAAGATTGTCTCTGCCAAATCCACAAAATCCAAACATACACAGTATGTTACCACTTGGAAAAAATCAGTGACCCTGGGATTACATGTAATACTGTAATAAAACGATGAATAATAATAATAATAATAATAATAATAATAATAATAATAATAAAAACATTATTTATATAGCACATCCATACATTAAAAATGAAGTGTGAATTCAAACAAGGATAAAGAAAGAAACAAAATGTAAACAAAAATAAAATAGCAAAATAGGCAAAGAATAGCAGTGACAAAGAAAAAAAATTCACATAAAAAAATATTCAAAAAATTAAAATGAAATAAAAAATAAATATTAAATATTAAAAAATATTTTAAAAACTAAAAATAAAATAATTACTTCAAAGTCAAAGTATAAATAAAAATAATTATAAATAATTACTTCAGTGTCAAAGTATAAATAAAAAAAACATATAAAATCATTTAAAAGTAATGTTAAAGTAACATGCCAGTAAAGGTAAGACAAATAATAAAAAGATAGTTAAATGACAATGAAAGAAATTATGTTTTGTAGTGATAAATTACGTTATGATCTAATTTCAATTTTGTTTTGTCCCCCCCTTAATTAATTCTGCATTTATTATTAGCTTGTTAAAATACTGGGTCACAACCTTGTTTTAAACCCATCTGTTGTGTTAATTGTGGAAAGAAAATGACAGAGCACCGAGAATGCTATCTGGTAAAGAGGGTCATGGCTGTACTTAGCAAGAGCACTTGCTTGAAAATCATATCAATGGTAAGAAAATTCTCTAGTTTGGTGGAAAACATAAGCCAGGAGCTTCCCTTTTTGCATTCTCTTGTGGTGGTGTAGTGGATGACTATCATAGTAACAGATTAATATTTAAGTTTATTTTTGGTATGTTTTGTTTTAAAACCTGTGCAATAACTGGATAAAAAAGCTTGTTCAGGATTGAGCTGATTCATAATTGCGTAATGACACTTAACATCACCACTTGTCGGCTTTTAGGTCATTGTTCATGGGGCATTTTTAGCTGTTCTGGTCAAAATCATTAATCTTGGTGAATCACGAGCAAGAAAAATCAATATCAAAAAACCAAAAAACATGCAGTGAGCAGCAGCTCTGTGGGAGGATTCATGCCTTGTTTATAAAACAGATCAATGGAGAGTGGACCGGTTCGAGCTGACAGAAACTCAAGTAATCACTCTGTACATCCGTGTTGAGCAGAAAAGCATCTCAGAATGCACAACACATGAAACGTTGAGGTGGATGGGCCGCAACAGCAGAAGATCACATCATGTTCCACTCCTGACAGTCTGAAAAATTTGAAAAACATCTTCAACTTTTCAGTTTCATCTCTTGCGCTGTACACAAAATGGAAATTAGCATGAAAATGTATTGTTTGTTTATCTGCTTTGGCATTGGTGTGATTTTAAAGCCAAATCTTTAGCCACTATTGTGGATACAAGTCAGAACTCAAGTCAGAATATGTTAATGTAATTCACAAAGTGTACTGCGTGTTCAAATAAATAAATAAGTAAATAATAGAGGATTGCTGAATAAGATACAGCTTGCTTATTCAGCAGGCCAGCCTTCTTTCACCTTGGAAATTGGAAAGGTAAAATTACAGGTTATAGCTGATTCTGGAGAGACTGTAATTTCTGTAGTCATGCTTCAGCTCTGAAAGAAGTTGTTCTTCATCTTCCCCCCTTGCTTATTCACATTTATATGCAATTTTTTCATTTGGTGGATGGTTTTATTCAAAGAGACTGAAAGGTGAAGCAGAATAATGTTTTAGCGCAGAGCTCAGCAGTTTAAGAGCCGAGCCGTGCCATGGATTCGAACCCACGCTCTTACAGATACAGATGCATTACTGACTTGCAGAATCTGTTAATTAGACGATGCTGTGAAGATGCCACATTTGCTGTTATTGTCTTTCAGATAATGATGCGTGTGAGATGGAAATAATGATCCTAGCTCAGTCATAATGATCACATCATGCCTGGGAATAATTAGCAAAATAGGTTGGATTATAGATATTTCAGAAATGCAAGCATTAGGAAAATATAGTTTCCTAATGTAGTTTCCTAATGTATAGTTTCGAAAACATAGTTGTGGTAAAAGTTATATTTTGTGTTTTTTTCTAACCTAACAAGAACTTATACTTTTGAACTTATTCTTTGAAAAGTTAGTATAGCAATGAAAATATATTTGGTTATTTTACGCCATTAGCATTCCCTTCTTATTAATTATATAATTCTTAAATATAATTCTTAATGAGCTCCAAATAACCTTCACTCTCAGAAATAAAGGTACTTCTTCTTCTACTTTTAGTATATACTGTATGTAGTTGGGAAAGTGCATATGGTGCACCTTTAGTTAGCTTTTAGAGTAAAGCTTTTAAGCTAGATCATTGTACTTCTGATCCAATTATCTTAAATAATGTTTAAACATTTTCAAGTAAAAAAAAAAAAGACACATATTAAAGGAACAAAAGGTCCTTTTATCTTTGAAAGTGTAACAAGCTGAAGAACTTATGTTACACCAGAAAACTAGAGTCATAACAAGACTGTAATCAAGTTACACCTGAAATCTTCTGCATGACATATTGCTTGTTTTCACTGGAAATGAAAAATCAGGAATTCTAATGGGAAGCTTCCATGTTTTAGCTTCTAGACTTCCATTCCATTCTGGTGTCCATTTGTTAACTAAATACAAAAATAGGACCAACAGTTTTCCAGCTCATAAAAGTCAGGAAGTTAAAAAAAAAAAGATTGTTTTTTTTCCCCCAGAGATAACAGGTTGACCCATTTTCCAATTCTAATCAGAAATCAGATAGCATGCTGTTTCCTGTTTCCAAATTTACTATGACAAAACAGAAATTGGGCAACAGGTCACTTCCCATTTTTCCTGTTGTGAAAGTTAAAAAAAAAAAATCAAATGGATTAATACATTGGTGGATCTACACTAAATTCGAGCCAGTACCAATTCAGCATTGAACGTTGGTCTGATTCTCCTTATTGGATTGGTGCAACCCTGACACTGTGTCACTGGTCAGAGTTGTTTAGACCACATGTCCAAACCACAGCCAGCACCGTGTCTACTGGATAAGGGCTGAGGATAAAACAAGGAAAAGGTTACAGACCTACAAAAAAGATGAAATCTACACTTCTAAAGGGTTCTTCAATGTATCAGTTAGCACTTATGGAAGGAGTCTCCAGTGTCAGTGCTTTGTAACAGTCAGAGCTGTTCTTTAAGTTTTCCTCCACAGGATAGTTTGAGGCCAAAAGGCTTTCCTGATTCTCAGTAACATAACAAGGTGGATATTTTTTTAAATTAACTTGAAGAGAGAAAAAACTAGAGGCGGGTATTGAAGGAACTACTGTTTATAGCTGCTATAATGGAAGTGAGAACAGGAACCAACTTGCTTCATGGACGTTCCGCAACATTAAGCATAGCTGTAAATTAATAAAATGTACAGCATGTTGTTCTTTAATGAATACAGAACTTGGCAAATTGCCACAGTATAAAGGAATAAAACACTTCTGGTCAAGCTGGATGAGGGTTGGGGTTAGAACCAGGGTGCAGTTAAAAAAAAAAAAAATCATTCAACTCCAAAGCAAATAGAGTTCCAAGTAGAATCACATTTATTAGGTAAGATGTCCTAACTGTCCAAAGAACCCACGAGGAACCATTTTGTCCTATGATATGGTGAAGTCTACTTATTGGAACCAGATTTTTTTTTGTTTTTTTTTGGCTTCTGAACTATATCTAGGTATACCCTATCTAGGTATAATAACTTTGATAATGGTGGGTGGTGTTTTCCAGCACTGTAACAAAATTAGATAATCTCAGACCCCCCTGCTTTTGCACATAGAGAGTCCA